TTCCAGCTCCAGCCACTTCTTCTCTATCTCCTCATTCAGACGAACTCGCTGGTCCTCTGAAAGTGGAGGAGCGGGGAAATCCTGCTCCCCAACCTTGTGGGAAGAGTCTCCTGCCGGGCCATCGCTGTTTGGGACCCTGCCATCGGGGGTCTCAAACCATTTCCGCCTCTCCTCAGAACGGACAGCCAGATCCCGCTCCAGCTCCTCATGCTTGAGAGACCGGTCAGAGATCCTCAAGCTCCCTCTTGTCCTCTGCGGGGACCCCTGATTCCCGGGGTCCTGCAGCAAGGGAGACAGCTCCACGTAGTCAAAGGCATGGCGCTGCCCATCCACCTTCCAGTGACCACCCTTTGAGTTGCCCTCAGAGCCTGAGCCCAGCCGCTGCTGCTCCTCTGTCCGGAGTGAGCTCTTCTGGGGGACGCAGTTATGGATGGAGTTCTCCTTATCACAGTCAGAGAGCCTGAAACCAGAGCAGCAGCCAGTGAAAGGGAGGCACTGCATGGGTAACTGAGGCACAGACAACTGCTCAAGGTTCGGCCGTTGCTCAGCGCAGCCTTACAAAACCGCATCTGAGTGTGGAGCTGGGCCTGTAACACCCCACCCCTCGAGTAAATGGGTTCCTCCATGGGATGGGGAGGGTTCACCCAAGTTCCGGCCCCACTGGTGGAGAAACTGGGCTAAACTGATGTGGAGAGGCAAAAAGCAAGTGCAAGAATGGAAGCCATCAGGCTCTCAACTCCTGTCACTGGTCAGTGTATCCAGGCCACATTCTGGAGGAGCAGAGGGCAGGGCTGATCTGGGAACACCCAGATTTCCAAAAGGGGCTTTCCCTGTCCCTGCCTGCTGGGGGAGAGGGGAAGCAACATGGGGGAGCAGAGAAGCAGCACGGGGCAGCTCTTACTTGGTGACATCTGGAGCACTGACTGGGCGCACGTTCTTCCTCAGAGCCTCGATCCAGTTGCGCCGAATACCCGAGGTCATTGCCGATAGGGTGAAGACAGCATCCTTCGTCTGCAATAGGGAGGCGACAGAGACCCTGTCAGGGCCCGATGGTAGTGCAAGCAGTCCCCACTCTCTCCCTGAAACCTCCACGCACCCGCTCTCATGGACTGTGGGCAGTGTGAGAGAGGCCACCTTGCTGCTTCAAACACATGGAGGGGTGGGAGTGGAGACACACTCTTTGCAGGGAAGCCCATTACACTTCCTGCGCAAGACCACCTCCAAGCAAAGACAAAAGAAACTTTGCCAACACATTTGGCCAGACGTAAAGCGGTGCAATCCAGCCGTTCAGGTGCTGGGAGCTGGGCAGCAGAGCTGGGGCACAGCAGGAAGCTGCAGGGAAACACAGACAGTGAAGTGCCCATCGCTGCACACTCACAGATACACTGGGTTTTGTGCTGCCTCAGCAGCCACCTCTTGCCGCTACAGCAAGTAGCCAAGGAGAGGATTGTACTGGGGCCAGATCCAGGGTACAGAGTGTTACTCAGTGCATGGTCAGGCAGGCTACACTGAGATCTGCAGCACTCACCCCCCCCCTCCTTGCAGTTCAAGAGAAGCTGCCTTGGCTAACAGGTCAAGCAAATACTTCTGGCGTTTAGCGTGGTTCCTGGCTCCCGCCAGCACAGTTTTCAGCCAGCCCTGCAAAGCCTCCTCCTTCTTTTGCAGGCAGGCAGGACTCCTGTCCCTGAGCACTGTCACCAAGCAGCCAGGCCACCATCCTGGTAAAAGGCTTGCATGGCTTTCCCCTTGGCATCTCAGCATGGGGAGGGACAATGCATCCCCACCCCGTGTCCCTTGGCACCGCTACCCTGTGGCCACGCAGTGCCGGACACTCACGTGTATCTGGAAACCATAGTTGCGCTGCACCGCAAACTCTGTGACATCTGTGCAGGAGCGGAGGTCAATTTCTCCATCGAGGTCATCTGCCTGCAAGCACAGCCACCCACTAGGACATCAGTGCAAACTCAGCTTTGAAAAAGCCTCCCATCACCTGCCAGCACCCCAACTGAGGCGCAAGCTGCCTCTGCCTTCAGCCCACAGCTCACCAGGAACCAGTCTCAACTTCCCAGTGCAGTGTGGCCTCGTTCAACCTGAGGGGCAGCCAACAGTGTGGATGGAGAGTGTCAGAGAAGCCCAGCCACAGGACTAACCCTTCTCCTCACCTCGCACCACTGACAGCCCCCCCACCAGGCTTCGCTGGCTCGCCTTCAGACATTCATCCCCTTTGTCACCCCCTGGGGCAAAGAGCAGCTTGCCACCTCTGGTGCCCTTCAGGAGAACATGATGCTGCTGCTCCTCCTGGGAGCATGTGCTGGTCACGCCAGGGCCATGCTCCCCTCCCCCTGGCCAGGAAGGAAGAAAGGGCTGGAGAAAGGCTGGCCATGCTTACCTCTTCCGCATTCGAGTCCCGGTAATACCTCAGGCTCGAGTCAGTCAGCACAAACCAATGTTTCTTCCACTGCAGGCCAGTCGGGCAGGGGGAGGGAAGGGAAAAGACAGGAAGGAAATGGATAGGCAGTTACCGGGGAAGCGTAGGAACAGGGAGGGACACTCTGCGAGGTGACCTCTCAGCGTTCTCTTCCCCCTCCTCCACATCCCTTCCAGCTCTTCCTTGCACCCCTCAGCTGGGAGAGAGGGGACAGATGAACCTCTGTGCCCGCACACAGTGCGAGGCACCTCTATCAAAGCCTTACTGCTGACCTTCCCAGCAGGAGCAAACTCAGCCAGCGAGGGGGAAGGAAATCAGCTGCTCACTGGGGGATCTCTAGCAGCAGGGGCTGGGGGAAAAGGCAGACTCCTGCCTCGGGCTTACCTCTCCCTGCTCATCCAGGATGGACATCCATCCCTTCTTGAAATTGAGGAGATCTGGCTGGAGAGGAAAGAATAAAACAGAGGGTTATGGTCTTGGAACGAGCCACAAAAGGGCTTTTCATGCCAGGGGGTGGAAGGTGAGTCCCCAGTAGCAGAATGACAGTGGGAATAGCCTAGCATTGCTTTTAGGAAACTCATGGGGATGTAGGACCCAGTGGCGAAGGAGAACTGGATTTAGCTTGGAGCAGCAGTCAGCCATTCCTGTAAGAGGAAGCTGGAGATAAGGAAAGAGGTTTAAAAAAAATGGAAGGAAAATATGCAGCCGGGAGTTTTCCACAAGGTGCCTTGGAGGTATTTATTCAGAGAGGGGGAGGCAGGGAGTGGGCAGAAGGGAGTGTTCCATTGCCACCGATCCAAACCCTGGCCATCTGTGGCCCAGAGCTACATCCTTCTGGTAGCTTCACCACTGATCATTTATTACAGACACGAGTAGATGTCTATGAAACAGCTTTCACCGCAAACATACAGGAGGCAACTCAACAGCTGTGAAAACACGTCTTTAAACGATGTGCCCCAGGGTAGAGATTAAATCAGAGTCACAACCAGCACTTGCTCCTCTCTGAGACCCAGCCCTTTCCAAGATTCAATGCTCTCCAAGATGCTGAGGGCTCCTCTCCTCTTTCTGCTCTCTCCTGCTGCGGAGCCTGCCCTCTGCCCAGCCTTAGCCACAGCAACCACAGACGAGGATGAACAGAGTTTCTCCCAGATGACCCCACACTAGAAAGAAGTTTCCTGCTCCACCCTGCCTCCTGCTACCTCATGCCACTGCTGCAGCATCCCAACCAGTTTATCTCCTTCCCAAGGTGGAGCACCAGAGAGCTGAGTCAGGGGAACCACTCTCCATGGCTTTGCCCTCAGCCAAACAGGCTCCAGCTGGTTCCTCCTCCCAGCCCTACTGGCTATGGATAAGTTCATAGAATCATAGAACAGTTTTGGCTGGAAGAGACCTTCAAGATAATTGAGTCCAACCTTTTCCTAGACCTATCAACAGCACTAAGCCATGTCCTTCAAGGCAACATCTACCTGTCTCTTACACACCTCCAGGGATGGCAACTCAACCCCCGCCCTGCGCAGCCTGTTCCAATGGCTGACAACCCTCTCAGTAAAGAAATTCTTCCTAATATCTAACCTGAACTTCCCCGGGCGCAACTTAAGGCCATTTCCTCTTGTCCTATCACTCTCCACTAGGGAGAACAGACCAACCCCCACCTCCCTACAACCTCTCTTCAAGTAGTTGTAGAGAGCGATGAGGTCTTCCCTCAGTCTCCTCTTCCTCTAGGCCAAACAGCCTCAGATCCTTCAGCCATTCCTCATAGGACATATGTTCCAAATCCTTTACCAGCTTGGTAGCCCGCCTCTGTACCCTCTCCAGCACTTCCGTGTCCCTCTTCTAGTGAGGGGCCCAAAACTGGATGCAGTACCCAAGGTGCGGCCTCACCAAAGCTGAGCAGAGCGGAATGATCCCCTCCCTGCTCCTGCTGGCAACACAATTTCTGATACATCAAATAATTCATCCCAATGCCTGTTCTCCCCAGAAAGTCTGCCAATCTGCCCCTTCTTCCACAGCTGAACCAGGCGAGGACAGGGCTGGAGAGGTGATAGCGCCAGATTTGGACCTCCCAGTGATCTGCCCCGGACCCACCAGCCCTGGGAAAGCCACCAGCCATCCCCATATGCCACAATCACCACCTGAGATCGAGCTGGCAAGAAGGGGTGGCTCAACAAGAGCCAAGTGCATGCTGGCCCACTCCGGCGCTCTGGCTATTGGTTCGGGCAGGCAGTGGGATGCCAGCCAAGGGGAGGGTCACCGGCTGCTACAGCTTCAGGCCAAGCCAAAAGTGTCCAACAGTGGCCCAAAGCTGCCCAGGAAGGGAGGGAAACTAGAGCAAAAAGGCACAGGGGCTCCCCTGCCTCACCTTCTGCTGAGGTGATGGGTGCTGCCGGTGGCTGGGAGATGAGGGGGACGCATGCACCCCCATTCCTACGGACCTGGACATCTCACTGGCCTCACTGCTGCCCTGAAAAAGCACCCTGAAAATTAATTCCTTCCTTGTGGCAGCAGCTCCACCCTTCTTTTCCCCGTTATCCCTTCCAATCCGGTGACTTCAGCTCTGGCTCCGAACTGGGAGCGGCGAGAGGGAAGGAAAGGAGGCGAAACGTCAAAGCACAACCTCCCCCTCTCCCGGGACGCACGTGTGCTCGGCAGAAGAGAGCCGGGCAGGCTCTGCTGAGGTGGAAAAACAATGTGCAAGGAGAGGGAGTGAATGGACTTCTGGCTGGGACTGTTGTACACATCAGCTGGGTCCCATCTTACTGAGGATTTACAATCCCAAAGCATTGGGGGCCAAAATAACAAACGTTAACGGGATGTATTCCACTGGGGAAACAAGCATAAAGTCCTGCCAGAACCGCTGCCCTTGACTCAGTGCTGGGGCCAGAAAATCCCCCTGGAGGGCTTCTCCCAAGCTGGCAAATTGCACAGGGCTCCTCTTTTCCCTGCCAGCCCCACTTCCCCTGCCACCTCCGGATGTGGAACTGAAGCTCTGAAATCGGCTTTGAGCTATTCTCGTCATAGCAGGGCTGGGACCATAGGACAGGGCATCAATTGATGCATAAAGTGCTTTAAAGTCACTTTTCTCCCTCTCCTCACAATCAAATCCAGCTGCTTCATCCGGCATAAATAGCTTGGGACTTCAACAGAGAAGAGAGAGGGATTCCAACAGAACCCTCCATCCAGAGGAAATGGCCTGGCAGCGGGAAGAGGAAACATCCAGGAAAGCCGAACTGCTGGGAGAGATCCGGGTGCCGGAGATGTAAGGATGCAGCAGGATGCTCCCCCGGAAAAAAGACACAGCCCTGCAGTGCAGCTCTGGGCTGCAGACAGCGAGGCTTCAGTTTAGGAAGTGGCAGCAGCAATTTTGCCTGGTTGCATCCACACCCACTGAAGTTATACGTTCAGCCCCCACAGCTGGCCAGGTACAGACACCAGAGGAGGTCCCCAAGCAGCTGGGGACATAGGTGATGACTGGAAGGACTGGCTTACAACAGCAGCGTAAGGAGAGGCAGCTCGCTGCTCTGGCTGAAGAAGGGCTACAGGGGAGGTGATAACAGCCTGCAAGTATCTGAAGAATGTAAACACCAAAGAAGGAAAAAGGGACTGGGTGGGAGCGAAGGAATGGCTCCTGGGTGGTACAGAGGTGCCGAGGTGGAGAAGTGGAAGAGGCTGTGGCAGGCTGAGAAAGCTCCGTGTCCAAAGTGAGGGACAGACACTCGGGTGTGACCCTTCCATTGCCAGGCTCTGCCATCACCGTGCCTCCTGCTCTTCCCACTCCCAAAAGCTCCTCAGGGTCTTGGAGCGTGCGTCCTCCCACCTCTGAGAGATGCTGCGAGGGGCCCTCAGTCTCCCAGAAAGCACGATGTCTCCTCTCCTCCAAAAAGGGAACCCGCTCCACAAGGCGCGGGCCCCAGGCCAAAACACGAAGCCAAGATAGTTCAGTGGAAGCAAAAGCACTCCCAGGCTGGGGCACACGTGCAGCTCCTAAACCTACAGGCGCCGCAAAAGCAAGTGGGTGACAGGCTCTCCCCTTCCCACTATCAGCTCCGTGTGAAACG